ATGTTTCTTTAGTTCATCCATGGTAATGACTGCAGTCAACCTTTTGATCAAGTGTGAACTGCTTTGGTTTGCTTTGTGGCCAAACACACACAGGCCATTTCTTGCTAGTTAACGGTCTGGTGTGCAGAATGCCTTGTCCTCAGCAGGAGGTCTGAAGAGAGAACCTTGAAAGGTATGCCTCCTCAATGATATACTATATGAGATTGACCCTAGTGAATTTGAAGTTCTGTTAAGTGTCATTGCAGTGACCAGTTGGCCAATTGTTTAATAAGACCTTCCATTACCTGAAGGGGGCCTACAAGAAAGCTGGGGAGGGACTTTTTTTTTTAAGGGCAGGTAGCAACAGGGTGAAGGGAAATGGCATTAAACTGGAAGAGGGCAGGTTTAGACTAGATACTATGAAGAAATTCTTTACTGTGAGTGTGGTGAGATACTAGAACAGCTTGCCCAGCAAAATTGTGGATGCTCCCTATATGAATGCATTCAAAATTAGGCTGGATGGGACTTTGAGCAACCTGGTCTAGAGGGGAGTGTCCCTGCCTGTAGCAGGGGGGTTATAACTAGATGATCCTAAAGGTGCCTTCCAACCCAAACCATTCTCTGATTCAATGATTCTATGACTTTCAAGTAGGGAAAACATTGAAGGTGGTTTTTTTTTTTTGTGGCTTTTTTTTTTATTTGGAAAGCCAGGTTAAAGGCTTAAAGGCTATACACAGAAGTATGCATTTGGAAAAAAATAAATATGCTTTGACAAGGCAGAGCAAGAATGAAGTGTACAGTAAGAATAGCAGACCATCAGCTGTGACCATGTGGAGCCCAACAAGCACAAACCTACGCAGCAACCCTCAGCTGCCATATGTCAGGGCATCATCAGTGATAAGACCATATGGCAGATAGCTGAATTATTCCTGTAGCTGTGATATGGCCCCCCCCCCCCCCCAGTTTCTTTCTTCGTGATGCTTTGAATCTTGCCACTTTTATGACCAGTTGTGCATCTACCAAAATGTAGGCATTCATCAGTGCAAGAGGTGAAAACCTCCAGCACCCGAGCAGAGAAACATTGTCAAGTGATGAGGTACCTTTTTTTCTTTTTTTTTTTGGACACATTTCATCTCCCAGCAGGCAATACCCAGCCACATAGTAGTATTAGGGATCAAATGTGTAACAATACAGGAGGTACTGGAAGACTGGTTGTATGACAAGTGCCAAGCCAGTTGTGTGACAGAAAAGGGCTTGTGTATACAGAGCTTTTGTGTGCCTTTAGAAGAGAGTGTATGACACACAGCCTTATGTTAAGAAATAAAAAGAGACCCTAAGTCTAATGAACCATCTAATAGAGTTTGGTTCTTGGTAATTTAGATAGACTTTGTAACTGGAATCTGTGGAAGTAAATAGTGTAAAAATAAGGACTCACATTGCCCAGTTTTCCTGAGCTTCAGACATATGCTCATGCTGTCTATGTTTTTACCCTGCTGTCAGTAACTCAATCAAGTATTTATAAGTGTAACTGTAACTATTGATTAATTCATATGGCCTTGTTGGAGAACGCATTAAATAATTATAAATACTAATTGGCCCTGTTTTAACATCCAAATTTAAGCTATCTTGTTCAAGTATTTTGTCGGGCTTTAAAAAAAAACACAAACATATCTACCATAAGGGTAAATTAGTACAAAAACTATCAAGTGAGATGGGAATTGGCTACAGAAAAGATGAGAATTGATTGATATATTAATTTCCAGCAGAGTAGAAGGAAGAGCGAATTAGGCTAAACAACAGTATTCATTTGAATCTTCCTTAATATCAAGCAACAACAGTAGTGGTATATTGATAAAATATACTTTCAATACAAGATAAGGAGACTCTACTGTAATGGATTAGGATTTAGGATGCAGTGGATAACCACTGGATGAGACACTGATGAGAATTTAACCATCATGCTGTACAATAACTCATAGAAGGGCTTGGGTTGGAACAGACCTCAAGGATCACCAAGCTCCAGCCTGCCAGCCTCCACATTTAATACCAGGCTGCCCAGGGTCCCATCCAACCTGGCCTTGAACACCACCAGGGAGTGGACATCCACAACCTCTCTGGGCAGCCTGTTCCAGCACCTCACCACTCTCATAGTAAAGAGCTTCCCCCTGACATCCAGCCTAAGTCTTCCCTCCCTCAACTTAAAACCATTTCCCCTTGTCCTGCTGTTATCAACCCTTTCAAAAAGTTGATTCCCCTCCTGTTTGTAGTCTCCCTTTAGGTACTGAAAGGCTGCAGTGAGGTCACCCCCCAGCGTTCTTCTCTCTAGACTGAAGAAGCCCAGCTCCCTCAGGCTGTCTTCATAGGCGAGGTGCTCCAGCCCTCCAGTGATCTTTGTGGCCCTCCTCTGGACCCTCTCCAACAGCTCCCTGTGTTTCTTGTATTGGGGGATCGAGACCTAGCATATAGTTAATGAATATAAAGATGTTATAATTATGAAATAAACAAGAGAGTTTGGCAGAGCAAATTACAATAACAAAAAGAGAACAGATAGAAAGCTTACCCACATCCTAGGCTCACTACAAAACTCCAGTGGAGTGGATCTCCAGAAGAGACCCTTTCCTGCTGCTAGTCCGCTCTTAAATGGGTCTAGGAGAGGTGGAGCCTAGCTCCAGTGAATTGCCTTCATCTGTGCTCCCGTGGCTGACTCATTGCTTGCCTCAGGTGATCAATCAGAGGTTCAGGCTGTGATTCAGCAGTTGCCATACACCTGGACACAGTATTCCAGATGGGGCCTCACAAGAGCAGAGTAGAGAGGGGAGAATCACCTCTCTCACCCTGCTGGCCACTACTCTCTTGATGGAGCCCAGGATACCATTTGCTTTCTGAGCTGTAAGAGCACACTGCTGGCTCATGTTAAGCTTTTCATCCATCTGGACCCCCAGGTCCTTCTCCGCAGGGCTGCTCTCAAGGACCGCTCCTTCCAGTCTGTATGGATGCCTGGGATTCCTCCAGCCCAAGTGCAAAACTCTGCACTTTGCTTTGTTGAACCTCATCAGGTTCACCTGGGCCCACCTTTCAAGCCTGTTGAGGTCCTTCTGAATGGCATCCCTTCCTTCCACCGCACCACTCAGCTTGGTGTCATCAGCAAACTTGCTGAGGGTGCACTCGATTCCATCAATAATGTCATTAATAACGATGTTAAAGAGCACTGGTCCCAAGACAGACCCCTGGGGGATGCTGCTCGTTACTGGCTTCCACCTGGACATAGAGCCATTAATCACATAACCATAAATCTAATAACAGTGAAAGAAAGATGAGCTTGAACTAGACTGCATGAAGAAAATAGTGCAAGAAATGGTGAAAAAAAAAAACAAATTTGGTCTCATTAATGGCCTTAGAAGGTCTAATAGTTGTTTAATTAGTCCCAACAAAAGCTGGGAGAGGACGTCTTCACTTGAGTGTTACAGGTGAATAAACATCACACAGGAAAATTAAGTCAAATGGCAATTCTGCCAGAAGATCACATGAATGTAAACATGAATAAATTGAATGTATACTTAAAAGAATGCATGTGATCTTGGCATCGATAGTACTGTAATAGTCTTTTAGTGCAAATATTAGTGGTGAAACAAAACTGAATATATACTGTCATTATGAAAGTGATTATATGATACCTTTGCCTGCAGAGATGGACCTGACGTCCAAACATTAGATGTTTCTGTGTTCCTTACACAAAGATGAATATTACTGAAACTGGTGATTTTACCTACAGAAAGCAAGTAGCAGGTCAGAGCATGCTATAGAAAATATATGTAAAAGAGGACATGTCTACTATCTGTTTTCAACTCCACAAATTTGTGAAAAGGTTCACATTTCCTTAAGGGAGAAAAAAAAAAAAAAGAAAGACTTATTTTATGTAATGCCAAATAAGCATAGAGATTCACTTCAAGTTTTCATTCAGATGTGGATAACTAGTTTTACTGAAGCAACTCTGCTTTTGCAGATAGTCTTTTGAGGAACAGAATTGAAGGCCATATGAAAAGGGCATTCTAGAGCATTCTGACATAGAAAAGAAAGTTTTATAATTACAGAAGCTGGGGTTTATGGGACCATACAGTAACAGAGTAAATGGTAGTCTTGTTCTGTATTTTCCTAGTTCCTCAAACTTAAAATGGAAAGAGTGAATATGTGAGATTGTCTGGCCATGGGAATGATAAGATGCCAGCTTCAAGCATGCCAGTGCTGGGATCAAGATCAATGGATCTCTTCTATTCCAGGAGACATGGTGATCTCCTTGTGGGTGGAACTACCTGACTAGATAGAAGTATGGATCAGTTTGCTCTGAAAATACCTCCCAAGAAGAAGGTTGCCTGATGTTTTAAGTTTGCTCTGAGTGTATCACCTGATCACCTAGATAAGCCTTTATCCTGGACTCCACATTTAGCTTGAACTTTTTTTTTCATCCCCTTCTTTATTGATTCAGGTGGGCCATCATCTGTTGCGAGTACAATTGGAACTGTGGATGCAGAGTTCTGCAATCCAAGTTTCTTTATGCTTTAAAATAGGGAAGTTGGACTAAAATTTCCTGAAAGGTCAGCTTATGCCCCTGTAGCAGTATGAATAGCTCTTAGGATAAGTGTAAATAAAATATATTTGAAGTTTCTTAATGCCATGAAAGAGAAATCCAATTGTAAGAAGTTGAGATTTTTTGAGGGTAAGCCTAGGAACAGTCTGTCTTAAATGACCATTACAATCTGTAACATGCTCCTTGGTGTGCTTCCTGTGGACTCTGTTGAAAAAATTCTTGCAGGTGGCTACTATGTTGGATACATTACTTTTCAAAGTATGTTTGTATATATTTTGCAAAGTGAAAGTATTATACAATTCAGTGTAAATGTCACTTACATTTAGTGCATGGGACTCGCAAACCAATTTCAGTACTAGGATTTTTGGTTTATGGCATACTTATTAAAAAGAAAAAATAACGACCATAAAATCAATTACTTATTTTTCCATTTCAGGTTCATGAATAGATTGAAGAAAACATGGCCAATCGAGATTACATTAGCAGACCTATTTGCAATGGAATTTCTGTTCCTGAAAATAAAATTAATTCCTTAGTGGCTGAAGGTCATGGACAACAAATTCTAAAAGTACTACAGAAGTTCAGAGAACAAAATATATTTTTTGACTTTAAAATTATTGTGAAAGATGAAGTCATTCCTTGTCATCGTTGTGTACTGGCAGCTTGCAGTGATTTTTTCAGGTAAGTATAATTTTGGCATGAGTTAAGGAAATGAGCAGGAAATGGACTAAAAGTTCTTTGGAAGGGAGGGAAATAATATTATTACAAAAATTAAAAGAGAAATCATCACAACTTTTGTATGTCTGCAGAGTTTTCATCAAAGCTGTCAAACACTGTAGTACAGATAGTAAAGTAAATACTTGCACTGTTAGATTTCCAGAGTGATCTGAGAGTCCTGTGAGTTTGAGATTCAGACAGCAGTCTGTGTATTTCACTGGGACTGCTCACTGTTCACTGGAACATAAATGTTAAACCATAAACTGCATGACTCCTCTGTTCGGCAGAACTGACATAAATTGTGTATCTTCAAGATTTGATTTTGCATGGAACAGTCTGTGTACTTTATATTGGGATGCATAACAGATTGATTCCAGATATGTACTGCACTGAACAATTGTGGATAACTAGGTAATGGTTTTGGAATTGGGTTGGATTTTGTTATAATAAGATGAGTAATCAGAATAGCACAGTTTGTCTTCAGAGTTATTTAAGCAGATACCTAGTATTTTTTCCAAATTAAAATTTCAGCCTTTCAGTGTGAAACAAATCTGTGATCTTCCTTCTTACTTATGATACTTAAAGCTATACATTCCCAAGGGACAGATTTGTCATATACAGAATTTATGAAGAACTTTGCTAACCTTTTCATTAGCAAAACTGAGATCACAGAAACACAGAATCACAGAATTGTAGGGGTTGGAAGGGACGTCCAGAGATCATCGAGTCCAACCCCTCTGCCAAAGCAGGTTCCCTACAGCAGGTCGCACAGGTAGGCATCCAGAGAGAGAGATGTGCAAACCCAAACTACAAATCTGTTTCTAAATATATTCTTTAATGAAACACAAAAGTAAGATGCTCTAAAAATGAAAATCCAGGGTCCTGAAACTGAACTTAATTCAGTTGCCTGTACGTAAGTGATACATTATTCTCAAATGGCCTTTGAACATCCCACAGTCTGCATAAATCTGCCATATATGACATGGGACATAGACTAGACTGTGTCCTTAGGACTGCTGACTAAAGAGGAAATGCAGATGAGATATTTCTTCATTGCAGCAACAGATCTTGCTTTGCTTTAACGTACAGTACTGCTTGGCTCCACAGAGACTCCGACAGAAAGGAATATTAGCATGAAATGGCTTCCAGTAGTAATTTTTGGAGCTGGAGTAGTGTTTTCGCTACCAATAGGCTTTTGGGATTAAAATTTGCCAGACAAGTTTGTGTGTAGCAGGTGTTAGCAGCCATAAAATTCATAAGTTGTCCTGGAATGCAAGGCTTATATATTACCTTTGGAGCATAAAAAGTACCTATGTCCACTAGATAAAAAGTTATTTGTCTGAAAGATTGTCTTTCTTTCCTGTGGACTTCATTTTGGTTTTACTGTGTATACCCAAGATTCAGCAACATTTTGCTTCCTACTTGTTAGCTTTTTGATTCAAAGTTCCTGCTTTTCTGCTGGCATTGCTCAGTTGCTATTGCTTGTAAGTGAAGCTTTATTTCCTAGGCACCCAGTATCCTTTCCATGTTAATTTGCAACTTAGAGATTTGTATCATAGCTTCAAAAGACTGAGTATTTATTATGTAGAAAAGTTTCAGGTTGTAGGTTTCTTATTGCAATTATACCTTCTTGATGGTTGGACTAGATGATCTTGTAGATCCTTTCCAACCTTGTGATTATGTGATTCTATGATTCTTGTTCAGGAGGCGAGTTTTTGCCTTACTGAATGTTCACTTTCCAAAGAGTATGGCTGTACACAGCGGTTTTCATTTTCTTCTTTGGCTTCATAAAAGTATGGGATTTTAAGTATCACATACTATCCATATACTAATCGTGTAAGAGAGCTATGATAAAAAACTCATTTTTAAATAGGAACTACCAATGATTTATTATTAATCCAAATTTTATACTCAGTATTTGGAATCATTTGTCTAAATCTTTCTCCACTATCTTCTTTGGTCAAATCTGGGACACTGATGCTTATGCTCCAGGAGGGTAAGGGCAAATGACATGGCAGAATGGTTCTCTTGCCAGATTGCAATACCTTAATCATTTTATTTCATAATGTTAGATTGTGCGCAGTAGTTAAAATGTGGTTGTTATGTATTTAGTAATAAAGTACTCAAAGTTGCAATAAAATTTAGACAGATCTACCGATCAGTAATGTTTCTTTCACAATTTCAACAATTGTCTTGGTAGTCAGTCACAATCTATTTTTTGTACAGGACATTTTGTCATCAAATGCTATATCAAAACCTCATTTTTTATGACATCTGCCTGTATCCATATATCTGTTTGTCAGCTCTAAAACAAAAAATGAAAGCTGCTCCTCATACTTTTTCTCCTCTCACCACTCACCCACTTTTATTCCTGAGGAATGCACCCATCATCCACGCTGCCATTTGTTCCAACCTGCAGTTTTGAAGGCCTTTTTCCTCTTAATTTTCTGTATTTATCCACAGTGCATGACCTAAATCAAATCGGTTTTTTTTTGCTATATATTTTTAAAATCAGCCTTTCTCAAACTGTTGAAACTGACACTGCCTCTAACAACTTTCAGTCCCATTAAGTTGTAGATTTCATCTCACTTTGAAAATCCATAGAAAACACAGCTGCTACCATTTTTGAACCATTGCTTTGAGTACGTTATCACCAATCCTTTCATCTGATGGCATTTAAAGTCAATGTATTTTTATTATTGTTAACCTTCACAGTTTAGATTTATAGTTATCCCACCTTATTTTGCCCCCCAGTTTTCTCCTCCTTCCCACACCGTTGTTGCCTTCTGTTCTGTTTGCTAGATCCTTAATTCCTATGTATATCTTCTATATTTTATTCACAGAGCCATGTTTGAAGTTAATATGAAAGAACGAGATGATGGCAATGTTACTATCAGTAATCTATCACCCAAGGCAGTGAAAGCTTTTCTTGATTATGCTTACACGGGAAAAACAGAGATAACAAATGATAACGTGGAAATGCTCTTCCAGCTGTCATCATTTCTTCAGGTTTCACTCCTTTCCAAAGCTTGCAGTGACTTTCTAATAAAAAGTATCGATCTTGTCAATTGCTTACAGTTGCTTTCTCTGTCAGAAAGTTATGGTTCTGTCCGCTTATTTGATCATGCACTAGATTTTGTACAGCACCACTTTTCCCTGCTACTAAGATCAAGTGACTTTTTGGAGATGAATTTTGAGATATTGCAAAAATGTCTTGAAGCTGATGAACTAAATGTCCCTGAGGAAGAATCAGTGTTGAATGCTGTTCTTCAATGGACCAAACATAACATAGAAACACGACAGAAATATCTGCCTAATTTGATCAAAAAAGTGAGGCTACACCAGTTACCTGAAAAGACTTTGCAAGACTTTCTGCACTCAGAAGAGTATTTACTTAAAAGTGCTAATTGTTCAGTAATAATCAATGATGCAGTCAAAAGTGTGCAAGACTTCAGCGGACTATTTCCAGATGCACGTCCTTCAACAACAGAAAAATACATATTTGTTCATAAAACTGATGAAGACGGAGAAAACAGGCATACATTTTGCTACAACATCAAAACAGATAAATGGAAAGAACTACCACATACACACATGATTGATCTTCCAGGGTCAAGCTTATCTAGCTACGGAGAGAAAATATTTATAACTGGAGGATGCAACGGGAATTGTTACAGGACAGTCAGGCTTCATATCGCTGAACCGTTTCATGATGCCACTGACCAAACCTGGTGCTACTGTCCAGTCCGCAATGAATTCTCCATAGTGTCAGCTATGAGAAAACCAAGGACAATGCACACATCTGTTGTCACCTTAAACCAGTTGTTTGTAATAGGTGGAAAGACCAGAGGAGCTCAAGAAACCCGAAGTCTTTTAGATGTAGAATCATATAATCCTCTCTCCAAAGACTGGAAATCTGTAAGCCAATTACCAAGAGGTATCTACTATCCAGAAGCAAGTGCATGTCAGAATATAATTTATGTCCTTGGCTCAGAAGTGGAGATTACTGATGCCTTTAATCCGTCTCTTGACTGTTTCTTTAAGTATAACGCTATGACTGATCAGTGGTCGGAGCTTGTAGCAGAATTTGGGCAGTTTTTCCATGCAACTCTAATCAAAGCTGTTCCAGTGAACTGCACGTTGTACATATGTGATCTCTCCACCTACAAAGTCTACAGCTTTTGCCCAGAAACCTGTGTTTGGAAAGGGGAAGGATCTTTTGAATGTGCTGGCTTTAATGCAGGGGCAGTTGGGACAGAAGACAAAATTTATATCTTAGGTGGTGATTATGCTCCAGAAGAAATCACAGACGAAGTTCAAGTCTACCACAGTAACAGGTCTGAGTGGGAAGAAGTTTCCCCAATGCCAAGAGCCTTAACTGAATTTTATTGTCAGGTCATTCAGTTTAATAAATATAGGGACCCATGGTCATCTGTAATGACAATTTGCTCTGGAGAATTTTGAAATTCCTGAGTCAAAATGATCTATTTAAATGCACAAATTTTAGAACAGATTTTTTCAGTATTAGTTTGCAGAAAAATATGTATTATTTTTGTTTTAAATCTTCAGTTTAAATTGTCTGCTATAAAAATGTTTCTGAAAGGGTCTATAAAATTCCCATCCATCCTAGCCATTATATATCAAGAATTACTTAGTTTTGTATACAAGTCTTCTCTATAATTATCTGAATAATTTGAAAATACTACTTTTCAGAAAAAAAAGTTATGAGGAATTTATTTTGTAATATGTGCCATTATTTCTGTAATAATCAGTTGCCCCAGGTGATAAATTGCTGAGTGAGGAAACTGATAGTGATACTGTTTTCCCTATGTAACTGAAGTTTAAAGAAATCTGCATTCATGCTGGCTTTTTTTTTTTTTTTTCTTTTTTTTTTTAATATTCACAAACCTGTTAGAGAACCTCATTGTCAGTTTTATCGTATTAGAATGACCTGAGCAAGGGAAAAAGCCAAAGTAACCTTTGCATCATCTTCACAGCAGTAAAACCAGGTGTCTAACTTGAAGAGATTGAAAATTCTCATCATCTTACATCAGCTCTTCAGTTGGACCAGTTTTTTTCCATCCTTGTGCCTTAGTAGTAGCTGTACTTTCTGTTTTCATCCCGTCGCTGTGGCAAGACAGACTTTGATAACAATTTGCAGGGTGAGCAAGATTTCTACAGGGTGGATGATTCAGGTGGGAACTTTGCTGCACAGATGGTCACCTCAATCACTGCAAGAAAAAACACTTCAGGATGTTTTCTAACAGAAGTCTTCCATCTCTGAAGTCTGCATCGGTTTCTGCTGAGCAGCCAATAGGCTGCTTACAGCAGAAAGTTGCAAAAATAAGTTTTAGTTGTTGCTTCAGTTAACTACCGGGAAAGTTCGTATCTTGTAATACACAGAATACAAAGTTAGAAAAAAAAACACAAACCCATACTTAAAGTAGGTAGCATTTCTAAGGGAAATAAATCATTTTTTAAAAACTTCTGTAGTATTTTAAATGAATTAAAACACTTTCATCTTCATGGCAATTATAAGTGATTAACTATTACAAGGCAAACACTATGCAATATATTGCTAGAGAAACTATAGTAATCTATTATGTTGAAATTGTAATGGATTTTCAGTATTAATACTACCGTGAAGTAAATTTGATCTGATGCATACAAAGTGTCTGTCCAACAGGACACTGCAATTATCTAGGTTTCATAAACTCACTTGTAATCTTCCACAGCCAGAGAATTCTCTTTCTTTCCAGATATTTAAATAAGATTTTAGTAGCCCTTATGTACTAATCAGGACACTAAGTTGTGTTATGCCAGACAGAATGGTTCTATACATCTAAGCATGTATTCTCCAAGCAGCTTAAAAATGAACAAAATTTAGTGAGTTACCTAATGATCTTTTACACGGCTTCAGACAACCACTGTAAGTTTGCTACCACATCTCTGCTGCATGTACTTTTGGCAAAAGTAAAACTCAATATTAATGCTTAAGACTTAATATTGCCTAGCAATGCATTTCTCTTTCAAACAGTAAACAGTGGAAATCTACAATTTTGTCATTTGTATAATTTATCAAATATTCTTCAAAAGTTAGATAATATTATAAATATTTTCATAAGGATGTAAGTGAAAATTATGCACATTTGGATAACATATTAATAATGGAACTTTCCCCCTCAGTAATTTGTATTAAGATATGTGTCAGTTCTGTAGAAGTAAATAGTTTCTTGTAGTAGTATTTCAGGTAATTTCCACATTTATTTTGATCTTTCATAGTGAATCTCCATATTATAAGTAGAGTAAGACTGGTAACCTTTACAATCGTTTTTATATCAGAGCATGCCTACTGCTTGTTAGTAAAAATGATACATACTGAATAGTTTAGGAGAGATGGAGAATACTATTCTAGCTTATTAAATTATGAAGGGAGGAAAAAAATATGAATACAAGAGAATAGGAATTTTAGCATTAGTAGGCTAGTCAAGGTAGCATAGACTTCATTTAATTATCACAACTTGTCATTTTACATCAGAAGTACAAGGCTGCACAGAATTGCCAGGTGATAACCTGAACCAGTGGTTGAGCATCAGGTGAGAAGACATGGCTAACCTGGGGAGCTTGGGTGCAAGCAGTGCACCTGAGTGGCTGAAAGGCTGGAGCCTGGACCATCCCTCCTCACCCTTATTTATGGGTAGCAGCTGAGGGAGCAGAATCTCCTTGGATAGAAGTTGCACTCTTCCTGAACTATCACTGGTTATTGGAAGGAGTGAGCAGTTTTTCTTCTTTGTTATCTTCTGTTGCTCCGTAGTGCTTGTGTCCAAGTAGGAGGTGCTGTCATTGTCTTCTTTTGCTGCACAGAGGCCCAATTCTTGTTAGCTTATAGTTTTGTGCTCTTTCTATACCCAAGTAATGACCATGTAATTTATGCAATGACAACATTATGCCCATTTCATATGGGTATAAACAGCTATGCAAGTTGGAAGAGATTAGAGAACTTAAAGTTACTTTCTGTTGCTTCTGTTGTGAGCAAATTGCTGGGCTGCATTAACAGCACTGAGTCAGTCACAAGTTCAGGTGATGTTCTTTCTTCCAAGTATTTTCTTACAGTTTCTTTTATTTGATATACTTGCTGTATGCATATACCTCTGCCACATGACACCCAACAGAGCGTACGTGGTAAATTACTTGTTATTCTCACACACACATACATAAACCTAAACATAACTTTATTGGGAAAAAAGACATTCTTCTTTAATATTCTACGCTACACTTGCACAGGAACTAAAGTCAGTTCCCAGTCCAACCAATCATTCTTGAATTTCAAATGGTGTTTCACTCTCTTAGTTGGTGACAAGGAAATTAGTAGCATCCGTTCCTTTTTACTATTTATTACAAAAAGTTACTGTGAAATGGAATGAATTTTCTTCTGTTATGTAGGTAAACTCATGGAGGGGAAAAAAGACAAAGTTATTTGCTGTAATTTCAACATGATAGGAGAAGGGGAAATGGTTTCAAACTGAAAGAGGAAGGGGAGATTTAGACTAGATGTAAGAGAAACATTTTTTTACATTAAAGGTAATGAAGTACTGGCACTTGTTGGCCAGAGAGATGGTGGTGCAGACATCCAGGCTGGGTGGGGCTCTGAGCACCTGATGGAGCTGTAGAGTCCCTGTTCGTGGCAGGGGAGTTGGGCTAGATGGCCCTTAGAGGTTTCTTCCAACTCAACTGATTCTGATTCATATGGAGGGCTGAATCTAATAGTGGAATTGAATGCAGAAAAAGCTACGTTACAAAGTCATGGTTAAAAACAAGGCTTTAAGATAAAATGTCATGACTTATTTATCACAGGATTTGTAATATACCTAGCAATGGATGAAATCTCAGCAAAGTCAACTGCACTACTGAAAACAATATGGGTTTCTTGCATGAATTACAGAGTAGGTCTGGATCAAAGATATGTTTTTAGCTGACTACACAGCAATTGCAGAATTTAAAAAGGTCTCAAAATTAGTGCAGGGTGATTTCTGCAGCTTTTCTGACTTTTCAAAGCTCACAGAACTTAATAAAAAAGTACGTTCCTCTGAAAATAATGCGTTACTAGATAATGATTACCTACGTTCTCACTGAAATATATTAAAATGTTTAAAACATACAAATTGCATGTAAAAGTATATGCTATTATTTGCACCTAAATAACGTAACCAAAACATTTCTAATAGTTGTTTACTGTATGTCACAAAATACATTATAAGCATGATCAGTACAGTATACATTAAGATAATATACATGTGAGATTTTAATACCCAGTAATGATTATATTGGATAGTTTTATAAGAATGCACTGAAAACATTATGACACTTTGCTAATGTTATCGTACTGGTTTAGTTACAATAAATATCAATTATTCAGGTGTTTATATTGATTATGTTTGCACAGATCTGATAATTATTATTTCTGTATTAATTTATTTTCTATATTCTAAATATGTTAGTAGTAAGTCAGTTTACTGCTGTTAAAAATTCATTATATTTAAAAAACGGAGTAAGATTTATTGGGTCAGATTTGTTCCCAGTGTTACTCCATTAAGAAATCTGCATACCTCTTCTGATTAATAATAAGTATTAGGAAAGATGTAGGATGTAGGATGTGCTGATAGCATTTGGAAATGTGGAGTCTAATTTGAGGTGTTTCTGTTTGTGGTTGACCAACAGGAGGCAGCATAAGATCTATTTTAATTAAAACAGAATTAAACCAGGGATATTTTGACAATATTTGTATGTGTAAATTGTGCTCAGTTTACTTTTTCCCTTCTAACATCCAATAAAGCATAGAGATCATTAAAATCCTGCTGCTGCCTGGGCTCTGCTGATATGTGGAAGTATGACACTACTGTATGTTTGCTGAGATGTTCATTCTTCTGTGAAATAAAGCACCAAGCAACTGAATCCTTCTCAGGTGTCTGTAAATGTTTTTTGTTTTTGCTTGTTTGTTTCCAGTGAGTTTCAAAATACAGAGTATTTACAATGCTTCCAACTGGGCTAACATTTTTTTTCCAACTGGCGAACATTTTGAGTATTGGGATATGACCAAGAAAGCAATTAGCAGGCACAAAAACTGCATTGGCAGGTTTTTTTTTTTTCACTATCCTTGAACTTCTTATCTGCATATTGTTTGTAAATCAGTTTGCTCTTATCAAGCTAAATTAATTTAGTCTGCTAGAAAGCTGTATGTTTTTTACTGTATAGTATGTGTATAAATTGGTATTTTTTATTGGATGCATCTAGATCAGATTGATATGTAATATTTTCAATAGTTTAAATATTGAAAATGATTATATATTTATTTTGAAGTGGGCTTCCATGCTACTTTAGACATTGCCACTCCAAAATACACGAGTGCAAAGGGTGCAGATGTGCCATTAGGTGAGTTCTTATGTTCCTCCAGAACTTAAAATTCTGTGACCTGCACAGTCTGTATCACAGACTGTATCACAGTATCTTACAAAAGATACCGTATCATTTTTAAGAAGTTACACTCAATGGTTTTCTTAGTTCATGAGTAAGTTAAATACCTCGAGGGGAATATTCACAGAACTTGCTCACCGTTAAACACCTAAGTCACCTTCCTTGACCAGCACATTTCCTTTATCCCTTCACAATTATATGGAACTTTATGGTTGGAAACCATAAGTTTCAGGTTATTTTCTCCCCTCCTGCCTTTAATTCTCCACTACTGTTACTACTTCTAGCTGTGAAGATAAGTTCTCACAGTTACCAGTGACATGCAGAAGAAACAGATCCTGGAAGTATAATTCTGTCTTCAGTTTTCTTCTGTTTCACTCAGCTACATGTAAATTCAAGAGAGTTCATGTGAATGAAGACGGTCTAGAGACTTGTACTGTGGAGGAAGCTGGTATACACCAAATAGCCTCTGTAACAGTGGAGTAACAATTGGGGAGAAAGGAGATTTATCTAACATTACGAGAACAGCTACCATGAGATGTCACACTTTTATTCAATTTATATAAATGAGCAGTAATCATATTTAGTGTTTTTGTGCTCCCTATGAAAAAGGGATATGTTATTATAATTAGCACTAATTATTTTTGCAGATTGCCAGAGGCTCAGGCTGGTAATGAGTTCCGTTCTATATATTTTTTCCAGCTATTGCCCTTCAATCGAGGTTGAACTAGCTTCCAACACTTTCAAGGCACAATTGCATCATATTTATGAGCACTGTTAAAATACGTAAATAATGTAATAACATAAACTAAGCCTTGGTCATGCATAGGTTTTATTAAATACAATATACAGTGTAAAAAATCGCCAACAAAGTGATATAGTCTTATTGCCCTACTCTCCACTATTTCCCTCCTTAAATTTTTACAGTACACAGTGGGCATAGTTTAGCAGCAGAACTGTCATCTTCTGTGAGCTGATAAAACCTCACAGGCCTGTATGAGTGCACTGACCTGCAGCCAGCTGTGTCTGTATGAATGTGTGTGAGTGCACTGACCTGCAGCCAGCTGTGTCTGTATGAATGTGTGTGAG